TGAAGAGGGCCAAACAGATTTATTGATACAAATTCAGAGACATCAGTGTAAATCAGGACAGTGGAGAAGTATGCCACTACTGGCTTATGTTCTTTTCCTGCAAAAGGATGGGGATGAAAGAACGAGTGTCTGAATGAATGACTGAATAGATGAATGAATGAAAGAATGAATGCAGAATCAAATAACTACATTAAAATACATTGCCAAACTTGTTGGACTGACATAGCAAGGGAACTAACTCTTCAGGGCCTCGCTATAAAAACAGTCGACAATGTCTCCATTTTTAATATAAAATTAAAATCCGATTTGCCCAATCCCTCTAAGTGTTTAACTTCAATTGAAGGTCAAAAGAAGGTTTGCATTTGGAAAGACTGCGGGATCTGGCCTGTGGTGCTATCAAATGTATGCTATTGTATAGCTTAGTTATTAAAAAAACAAACAAACCAAACCAACCAAAACAAAAAACTCAAACCCCGGATTATCTGAATGCTACATTTATGAACTACAACATTATGTACATTAATATTCATTCTGCCTGTGTTACCTCCAGGGCTGGCTTAGACAAGCTGACAACCTGCAATACAAGGGGCCCTGGCTTGGTGTGTATATGTGTGTGTGCGTGCGCATGGGGCTGGGGGTGGGGGGAGTGGTGCCCCACCAGGGACAGCTTGCAATGCTAGTGTGATGTTTACTGTGCACGCCTCACTGCTGCATGGTGTGGAGTTCCAGCTGCTGTGAGCTGACAAAGCTCTGTGGTAAAAATAGCTTAAGCCATTTGGGAAATCAGGATGTCTTCTCATTTATCACAGCCCTAGCTAGCCTGGGGGCACACTGAAGGTTCCCCTTCCTCCTATCTCACAGGATCCTCTGGCCCCATCTGAAACACACATGAGCTTTGGATATATTTCTTGGGCTGCCCCTCCAGCCCACTGAGTCCCGTCAGGACTGAATCTCTCCCTCCAGGCCCCACGCTAACATTTCAGAGCAGTTGGCAGCAAATGGGATAGGATGCTGAGCAGTGAAACTTTTGCCTTGCAGCTGCAGGAGCCTAAATGAAGGGCTTTTTGCAGGGCGCCTCAGAAGTGCTTGAACCAGGTCTGTAAACCATATCTTACAATATCAATACACTACACAGTCTTTCAATGGAGGATGCCAACTAGGGTGACCAGACAGCAAATGTGAAAAATCGGGATGGGGGTGGGGGGTAATAGGAGCCTATGGAAGAAAAAGACCCAAAAATCGGGACTGTCCCTATAAAATCAGGACATCTGGTCACCCTAATGCCAACCCACTTTACAAACATGAATTCATTACACCTCACAACAAGCCTGCAAGAAAGGCATCATCATCCGTATTGTATAGATGGGGAAACTGAGGGACAGAGCAATCAAACCACTTGCTCGAAGACAGTCAGTGGCAGAGTTGGGAACAGAAGTCAGGAGCTCTATCTACCAACATAATATGGGACTAATTCTCCTTTCACTTATACTAGTACAAATCAGAAGTAACTCCACCGAAGCAGGTGAGAGAAGAATCTGACCCTATATGCCAAATTGTCTGTTGGTGTAAATGGGTGCACCAGAATTTGGCCTTTCATCTATATCTTTCTACATCAGTCTTGCAAATTCTGCTTACTTGAGGCAAGTATGTATTTTTTGATCAGTGAGTCAAATATGTTTAGTTTTCTCATTATTTCCAATCCTCATAGTAAAAAGCAGAATAATGTAGTTTGTGCCTAGGCTGGTAAATTTTCATAACAATTTTACATAGCTGCTCTACATATATATGCATTACATATGAATGCAACATTTAATTTTCATTCATTTGAAGAGTGCCGTTCTCCTATTACCAAGCTTTAGCCTTAACCTTGTAAGGACAAACAACTGCACCTGCATGGATCTGATTGTAGGATCAGGTCCATATTAGTAAATATCTATTTTCAATGTTTAATTAGTACAGCACATAATACACAAGTGTGATGTTCTCGTTCCTGGGAAGGAAGGGGAAATATTGTGGATAGAAATCTTGTTTGTAGACACTGACAGTTGTAGGTTGTTCATCAAAGGATTTAAGATATTTAAAGAACACACCAAATGCCCTCTGCTCGCTTCTACCTACAGATACTGCTTTTCTGCCTCCTCAAAAACAATTTTATTGCTTTTGAAGACAGCATGGTGAGCTAAGCTCATGCTTTTCTGAAAACCATCTGTTTTTGACTTTCCTGATCCGATGAGCCGAAGGTCACTAGCATGCCCATTTTGTTCACCATCACTTCAGTGTGTAATAATACTGGTAAAACCTGGCATAAAGAATCACAGCAAAGAAAATTCATCCTGAAGCTTTTTGGGATTAGCAGAGGTTACTAGTATCAACAAGTGAGCGCAACGAAGGTCAGTGACAATCTGAGGGCTGTTTTTTGGCCTAAAAAATTTATGTTCTTTTGCTATATAAGAGCTAGGTCTTCTTCTTATTATTTATTAATGTGGCATGAGTTTGGTGGTCACAGTCAGTTCCCAGTGGACAGGCATTCACATCACAGACAACTACCACATTGATTAGTGTTGGCAATTTCATCATACAGATCAGTGACCTCAATGGGCGTGGTAAACCAATGTAGTCTTCCATCCATAGACATGGACACTCCAAGTCAAGAGTGGGGCAGTGCAGTTTCTAGACTAACACCAAGTGTTCTCAGTGGTACCAGATGACAGAACAAGGAGTAATGGTCTCAAGTTGCAGTGGGGGAGGTTTAGGTTGGATATAAGGAAAAACTTTTTCACTAGGAGGGTGGTGAAACACTGGAATGGGTTAGCTAGGAAGGTGGTGGAATCTCCTTCCTTAGAGGTTTTTAAGGTCCGCTTGACGAAGCCCTAGCTGGGATGATTTAGTTGGGGATTGGTCCTGCTTTGAGCAGGGGGTTGGACTAGATGACCTCCTGAGGTCCCTTCCAACCCTGATATTCTATGATTCAAGTTATTTGGTAGGTATGTGGACCAACAGTTCCCAAAAGCTCACACAGTCCTTTAAATCTATGGATATAAATTGTTACACTAGTAAAAATGCAAATTTACACATACAAAATGTACAGTTAAATATCTACAGTATACATCTGTTTATATTCTTTCCCTTGCAGAAACACAGATTTTGCTATCCAGTTTTTAATGATAAATTTTCAGGTGCAATTTTAGAGCCCCCCACTCTTTAAATCCGTTTGTTTGTTTGTATATTGCTACTAATGAGTAGCTGTATTATTTGCTGTCAGCACTGTACATATTTTCATTCTAGCTTTTTCCTTATGTGTCTCCATTTGTATTTTGAGTAGATTTTTTTTTTATACACAAACTATTTCCTCTGGGGGGAAAATATAGAGGAGACACGTTCTGGGATATAAAAGAGAAAAAATAAGGAGTGTGTTATGGAATATATCTGAGATGTACAGGTAGCAAAGCACAATATATTCTCTTGGTACCCAAACTACACATCTTATGTAACTGCTTTCAGCAGGCTCAGTAGCTGCTAAAAGCAGGTGTTTATTCTGAAAAGGCAGCAATGCTTTTCTGTCATGTTACATTAAGTCACTTATGACGCATCATGTTATATTGCACCACGTCATACTGGTGCATATGGCAAAGAAGCCAAAGCAGAATAACATGATGTGACAGACAACATTTAGTAAAAATATTCACTTATTTGGCTCAGATACTTGCTATCAGTTTGAATCAGAGCATGTTGCCCAAAATGAAGCTGGCAGATTGAGGTGAATGGTTAAGTGTCTGTGGTTCACAAGCAACTGTACCTGATGTAAATTTTGAAGTTTCTTGGCATGTACCTGGTATTTATCTTATTGTCGGTTATTATACCTCCTCATGTTCTTTCTCTCTCAATTTAACCCCTTCTGAACTTTTTCCTCCTCTCATTGCTTTAAGTAGGTTGATCGTTTATTCCTTAGTACCTTTTGTTAGTTTGACATAACACAAGAGTTCCTCACAAGGAATCAAGATCACATTTTGAATCTGTTTATACAGAAAATTACAGAGCATTGTTAAAGGACTGACTGGCTAATACACAAAATCCAGATTTAAGGTTTTTAACAGTACTGCAGAAGTACTGTTCATTGCAAGTCTTTCAGATTCCAAGTTTAAATAAGCACTTTTTACTTTGATGGAATTGCCTTAAGTGCTATTTTACCTAAGAGTGAAGTTATTGTGAACTACACAAAAACGAATGCCTGGCAGCTGTTTGTTTATGTAGTCAGAAGGACTAGTTGGGGAAATAAGTTTATCCTTCAAGGCACCTACATTTTATATGTAAGAAAGTGTTTTTGATGGACTAAAAAAAGAATACTGAAACTTTGTTATCGGTATCGGGATTTTTGGAGCTATTTCACGATAATTCTTTTTTAAAAATGGAGAGCTCTCAAAAATGAGGGGCTAAGAGCACTTACTGGAGTCAGGTTTTACCGAGGCAAGTGCTGTGCAGGCCTCACCATACAGCTCTGTAGATACACCTCATTTCTGAGTTACCAAGCCATTGTTAATCCAGGGAGGGGTATCTCTTGAACATAGATGGACAACTGTATTAAACTGTGCGCTAGTATTATAATGTGTACTAATGGAATTTAGGATGAGGGCACATCACAGTCATTATCACCTGTGACTTAAGAAACATTTTAGACTCAGGTCTCCAGAAGTAAATGGCTAGTGCACTAATCCATGGAGCAGCCTCATTCATCAAGTTAGTAATACATATAGGTGCAGGGAAAAGTCAAAAGCCACAAATGCAATAGATACCAGGACTATGGCACTTCATGTTAGTTAAAGAAACAGAGAAGTGTGCTACCCTCACTGTTCTTTGGTAATTGTTAAGCACATATTGTCCGACTGTTATGAACTTGATGAATTCCATCCACCCACTAGGGGAGACAGGGAGGACAGCATGGTCCTTTACCTCTGAAATCCAAGGTTCTGACTCAAATAAACTCAGTATTTATATTTTCACAGGATCAGAATCAGGATGTTCTGTGGCAAAATCTCACTCAGTAGATGGGAAGGAGAAAAGACAGAGACCAGCAGATAGGGGGGCTGGATATCACACTGCCAAACATTTGCACGGATTTGAAGACCACGTTGTCTGTAAAAGCTGATGGAGCCCAAGGAGGTAGGCCAAATTGCCATGATATCATGTGATATTTACTAGTAATTTCCTTATTTATATATCATAGTCTTTTGATTTGACTAGTAATGTTCTGTCGATAAATGTAACTCCAATGAAAGGAATAAAACAAATCCTATTGATAACCGCCAAGATTTCCAAAAGCTATTATTATTATTAATTTGTATTATGGTAACACCGAAGAACCCAGTCATGGATCAGGACCCCACTGTAATAGGCACTATACAAACACGGTCCCTGCCCTAAAGAACTTACAATTTAAGGAAAAGTGACTAATGATTGTTGGTGCCCAAATAGGTACACATCTGTTAAAGGCAACAGATTTTCAAAGTGCGCAATACTTTGTGAAAATCGGGGGTGTCTCAAGTTGGGCATCCAAAATTAGAGGTACTCGGAATCATTACTCCCTTTTGAAAATCTTGGCCTATACCATTTAACACCATTGTAAGAGACAACTTTATGTTCTCTGGGGAGGCTATTAATGACTAAGGAATCAGCCTGCTTTGTTGTTCCTGACTAAGGCAGGAAGGGTGTTGGGAGCGTTCTCCTGCAAGAGGCTGTGAATCCTATGCTCACATTGGTGTTGGGTTCCCTTCATTCCTGCGACTTTTTAAGGTAGACATGTAAGGTTAAATAGAAGTATTGGGCCATTCCCCTGTAGAGGTTTCTGCAAGCAATTTTGATGGTTTGAAATGTTTGAAATCCAAACTTTCAGATGTTTATTTGCACCGATATGAATGTACCTGAATCTCTTTGGCCAAGAAATCAAACTGGAAATCTTGCAAGGTCAGGGTTTTTCTCCTGAGAGATCCAGTATTTCCTGGTTTCAATCAGGTCAGAAATATTGAGAAGAAAAGCTCTTCATGAGGTATCACCTTATTCCTTCTCCTGATTCTAGCTGAAACCAATAAATGCAGAGGCAGCATAAGAAACTGAAACAATAAACAGGATTTGGCTAAAATTGTTTTGAATTTCTAAAATAGTTTCAGGTGCAAATCGAGTTTTGAATGATTGGTTTGGGTAAAATAGGAACTAACCCAAACAGTTTGCACATCTAAACAGAAGATATAAATTGAATTCCTCATCAAGATGATCTATTTTTGACTCTGGTAGGCTCACATTCAAAAAACACCCTACTGTCTCAAATTCACCTGCATTTACTTTTCAAAGAAAGCACATCCTTCATGGTTCCTGTGCAACAACTTCCAATTGCAATATAAGTGAAATTGATGGATACTTTATGGACTGTAAATTAAGGATGTTCTCATTTATTCTCATAGGGTGAATATGGCATGAGCACCCTTGTCCTCAACTGGATGGACAAGTGGGGGGAAGAGGATGAGGAGGAAAATCATCCATAAAAAAAAAAGATGAGAGGAGGGGTTGGGTATGGAAAAGAGGGGAAGGGAATTTTCTTTTGGATGAAGTATCAGAGGGGTAGCCGTGTTAGTCTGAATCTGTAAAAAGCAACAGAGGGTCCTGTGGCACCTTTGAGACTAACAGAAGTACTGGGAGCATAAGCTTTCGTGGGTAAGAACCTCACTTCTTCAGATGCATGATCATCTGTCACATTGCTTAATTCATTCTCTCCACCTGGAGAAGCAAGTAGGCAAAGACGACTCGTGCCTGCCGATAGTGGGGGGCAAAGTGAGGGCAGCTGGCTTCAGCAGTGTTACTGAGCATGCTCAGTCCATGTGAGTAGGCTCAGTACAAGCCAAGCAGCAAATCTGGCAGGGCACATGACCCTGTGTGCATAGACGCCAACTTTCCCTGGCATCCGTGGGTGCTCGTGCCCCTCTGCCCCCGCCCCAAGTCCATTCTTTTCCCACCCCCGCCCCGCCCCCATTCCAAACCTTTACCCAAAGTCCCTGCCCCATCTCTGCCCCCTCTGTGCTCCTATTGGACCCCTTCCCCAAATCCCCACCCTGGCCCCACCTCTTCCCCAAGCGTGCCGCATTCCCCCCATCCCCCCTCCCTCCCAGCCACGCGAAACAGCTGTATCGCGGCACAAGTGCTGGTTGCTAGGGAGAAAAAACGGGCATGCAGCGCACTCAGGGGAGGAGGAGGAGGCGGAGCAGAGGTGAGCTGGGCGGGGGGACGGGGAGTTGCTGGTGGGTGCTGAGCAGCCACGGAATCAGCCCCTATGCTTGCATGCTCTCCCCATGTATCTCCTCTGCAAGTAGGTTCTGTCAAAGGTAGGCTGAGATCTATCTTCCCTTAAAGCGCCAGTCTCCCTGTGATAGTAAGTAAACTTAAAACAAACCCTTACAAAACTCATTTTGTATGAAACAAGTCCCTGTTGCCATTTGTCCCTTCCTGCATCATTCCCTCTTCCCAACAGAACTCAGGCACATATGTTATCTTGAACAGCCACCCAGAAGATATGGTGGTGGCCAGGTAGTCTGCATCATTATCCCCAAGAGGTCTCCTAAAGGTAGGGTGTCCAGATAGCAAGTGTGAAAAATCAGGATGGGTGTGGGGGGTAATAGTAGCCCATATAAAAAAAAAGAGCCAAATATCAGGATTGTCTCTATAAAATCGGGACATCTGGTCACCCTACCACCCTACCTAAGGTGGTCCAGGGGCCTGTTAGGGGGAAGCAGATCAGTGCAAGTAGGAGAGTGTGTGTGTTGGAGTTCTCCTTCAACTTGGTTCAGCTGAGGATGATTTTTTTTAACAGCTGTACCGTACAGCACCACAGATGTATATGATGCTTTACATGACAGCTGAAGCCCCATCCCTGCTCCAAAGAGCTTACAGAAAACATTTTAAAACACTTTAGTGTCTTAAGAAATTTATGTTTTATGACTCTTAAGTGTCTAAGTCATCTAAGGCACTTTTAAAATGTTACTCTACAACCTAAACTGAGCACAATATCAGAAAACGCTAGAGAAGATAATAAAAACAGGAAAGGGGGAGGAATTCCCAGAATAAAGTTATGGGATTGTTTGGGTGGTACACAGCACATCACGTTAATGCCTAGTTATTTGTTTGAACTGCTTAAAAGGTCATGGCGTTATCCGCTTTATGGAGGCTATGAGTGCATCCCCCTCTGCACTAACACGGAGCAGTGGTTCCACTTCCCAGCCACATTCTGGCTGACCCCTATGCATGGGTACGCATGTGCATTCTAGGGAAACCTCCTTGTATCCGCACTCCCTTCTTATTTACCTAGACAAAGCTAGCCACAATTTGGTCCTTAAATGAGTGCTTAGTGAGGTGTCAAAATGCACACATAAAAAAGAAACAACCCCTTATTATCTTCAGTTACACCAGTCACTCCGATTGCCTTTGTGAACATATTTCTGCTTATCTGTGTGTGCAGTTATTATTGTGCACCTTGCAGCTCACTTTGGAAACTTAGCTCCACACGTGCCCACATTCTGAGAAATGAAAATTGGAGTGAAAAGATTCCATTCTCTTCTCATTTACCTGATGAAACAAATAACCAAAAGAAATGACATAATTAACACTGAATGTAGCTGAACAATTGCTAAGACATGTATTTAATCATTTTTGGTTGCTTTTTTTTTTCTATTTTAGGAACAAAACAGGGACAATTGAAGCCTATTCTTCTCAAGCAGCACAACACTTCTGTGGCCAGAGCTGAAGGAAATGCATTGTTTTGATTGGAATATTTTTTCATTAACAGGATGTTCAAAATAAACAAAATGACTTGATTCACAGTGCCTGCGGCTGTATCAGGTTAACACTGGCATGCTTCCACACTTGAGCGCATCTTCACTAATCAATCAGAAACACACTCGCTGGCAAGAAAGGTCACATCTTTAATCACACAACAGCAACTTTTTGACAACAAACAGGGTATCTGCATACAGCCAGATTTGGCTCTCTGTTACATAGGTTTAATACGCCACATACTGAAGATGATGGGTGCCAGATAGAGAGAGAGAGAGAGAAAGCTGCGGTTTCTCCCGTAATTATGCCTGTGAATACCATGTACTGTAAGTTAGAGCAGTTAAATTAGAGATCATGATTTTATGCCCTCCATAAACACTTGTATCTTGGATGAAATTCAAGTTAATTGAATCAGAGGAGAATGAGATAAAATGTAATGTATAGGTGGGCACAGGCCTGATCTCTTTGGTTTGGGACGAAAGTATTACTGTCCATATTGAAGCAACATCCCAGGGAGCATGATGCTACTGGAGGGGTCATCTTTCAGAGGATACATATAAAAAAAGTCCTCGACTTCTTTGGTCACTGAGGATTCTGTGACAAAGACTGTTAGCCCCAGTCTCCTGACTAAATTACATCTCAGGAAATTAGAGTTACTATTTTCATTAATAGATTCCAAGGCCAGAAGGGACCACTGTGATAATCTAGTCAGACTCCTCTATAATGAAGGCCACAGAACTTCCCCAAAGTAATTCCTAGAGCTTAGAAAAATATCCAGTCTTAATTTAATTATTGCCAGTAATGGAGAATCCACCACGACCCTTGGTAAATTGTTCCAATGGCTTATTACTCTCACTTAAAAATTTATGCCTTACTTCCAGTCTGAATTTGTCTAGCTTCAGTTTTCAGCCATTCCATTCCAGCTGGATTGAAAAGCCCTTTATCAAGTTGAAGAGTTCATTGTAGTTACTATCCTTCTACTCCTAAAAACTCTTCTGAGTGCCATTTCTGCACACAATGGCAATGTATTTTATCAGAGGGTGAAGAGAATCCTGTATGTACAATCATTGGGATCAAAAGTATTTAATAAATAAGAAATTATTAGAGGGGTAGCCGTGTTAGTCTGGATCTGTAAAAGCAGCAAAGAGTCCTGTGGCACCTTCTAGACTAACAGACGTATTGGAGCATGAGCTTTCGTGGGTGAATGCATCTGACGAAGTGGGTATTCACCCACGAAAGCTCATGCTCCAATACGTCTGTTAGTCTAGAAGGTGCCACAGGACTCTTCGCTGCTTTTAAGAAATTATTATAAATATAGTTTGACTTTTCCAGGCTAAATTCCATGATCCATGTATGGCCTTCCTCCTCTTTAATTTTATCTGGCTCCAATCTTTACTGCAGATGAGGAAGAGAGGAACAGCCATGTTATGGGGTGTAGAGTAGATTCTGAGGCTATGCTAAGGGAGAGGAAGACATCTGTATCTCCTCAGGTGGGCACTACCACAGTGTAGGGTATTTACCAGAGTCTGTGTCAGAGGCAGGGAATGAGTGTGGCCAGAATGAAGTGCAGCTATCCTCAGCTAGGGGATAGTTCCTTTGGGACTGTAGCTGGTTGTTGTAGGTTAGAGGTTAGGCTCCTTGAATGCCACGGTTGGAGCTCGGGTAGAATTAGTCAGAGAAGCAGGGAGGCTCTCCTCTGTTGGCTGAACAGATCTCTGTCACCTCAGAGAATCGGGCCCCTTCTTTACTCTGGGTGAAATCTGGGTCCCATTGGGATGTCTACACTGCACACTAACCTTGAGCTTTGATTCAGGTTTGAGCCCAAGCCCCCCTTCCATCCACACACAAATCAGTCTGACTCAGATCAGCAAACACTTACGACCTAGGACCCTGCTAGGGATGTGGGTCAGAGCCCGAGTCCTGCTGTAACTTGGGTCTAAGCCCTGCCATTTTTCATTGTGGACACAGATCAAGTCGTAGACCTGACTCAAAAAGTCTGCAGCATGGAAGCATGAGCATGGCTGTGAGACCTAGGTCCAGCAATGGTAAACTCTAGTTTACAGTGCAGTGTGGATGCTCAAGCATGGGCTTGGAAACACCGAGTCCACAAGCTCATATCCCACAGATCTGGGCTGAGCATAATGTGTAGACCTACCCATTGAAGACAATGGTAAAAATCATAGTGACTTCAATGGATTCATGGTTTCACCTTCAGGCTGTTGTGGTATGTGTACACTGCATTGTAAACCTGGGGCTGTGAGATCTGGGCTTGTGGTCTCAGGCTTTCTAAGAGATTTTTGGTATGAAAAGAAGCACACATTACCTGTATCTGCAGCACATATTGTGTGACATAACGCACACATAAGTGAGACTAAATTGAGTTCTGGGCATCATTAGCTTAATTAAATCTGTGATTTTTGTCTCAAACCTACAGGCCATTTGTGTATAGTGGGGGGGGGGGGGGAGGAGAGAAGGGGCAGATGACATAAGACAGAAAATAGTTTCCTAGTTAAAAATTAGTTGCCTAGGCTAAAAATATGATCAAATGACGTCTACAGTATTTTATAAAGCGCTAAGAGGATAGCAGCACTTAAAGCAGTGCAACATTTGCATTTTGTTAATTTCTATTCATGTTTTTACATGCACTTGCTTTCTGTATGCTTGTCAATCCAATGCACTTGGACAGTCCTCACATTTTTCAGATCATCTAGGCTCTCTTCAAACTACAGCTGAAAGTGTACGAACCACAACTGCATTTAACCATGGCTGTTGCTAGCCCGGCTTTGATGATAAATCTGGACGAGCCACAGCAGTATAACTATAGTGGGGACAGAGCCTTACACTATATCTTCTTTCTAAATTTAAAAATAAAATCGAAAGATTATTTTCCCTCCAGCTTAGATTCAAGGATTGAACGTTCCTTTAGCTGAAGCCATAATGTGGGGAGACCCCTGTTCAGTACTCTCGCTCTCTCTCTCTCCATCTCTCACATGCTGGCAGCAGAGGCCACTAGCGCTATGTAGATGCTGTGCTCCACTGCATTGAGAGAGGAAGTAGAGCATCACATTACTCTGCAACTTTCCCTGCAGGCTGTTTGAAGAACAAACAGTGAATTAGCAGACCCAAGGAGTCCTCTAACCTTCTGACCCCTGTACAGCTGTGTTAGCTAATAGTTTTTTTTATGCATAGCGGTCAATGCCAAATCCCAGATTAGAATTTGGAGATTACCTTATTACTAAGGGCTTGATCCTGAAGTTCATACTCATGTGAGTAATCCTACATGCATGAGTAGTCTCATTGACTCACATGCATAGGTATTACTCATGTGAGTAAGAGTGGGGGCTCTTAATGGAATCTATTCTCCCTCCAGTGCATGCATTTAAGTCTCATTTGTTCTCATGGGAGCTATGCATATTCAACAAGGGGAGAATAGATTCCCTTAATCTGCTGAAATGCAGGGGATTTGATTGTCATGTTTGATTTAATGATATGTTGTTGTGGGTAGACTGGGCTGTCATGATCAAATTATTCAATGGATTTAGCCCTTTTGTCTGTGCGAATTTTCCAGGAACAGATCATATTTTTTATATATTTGTTCTTGGTTCCAAAGTTGATTGCTGAATTTTTATACGAACAAATTTCAGCCTGGCAGTTGTTTGTGAACTATTTGCTGTGATTGCTTCTTTGAGAATTCAGTGGCCCAAGTAAGAAGAATTGCTGTGGTAGATGTCTCAGCCCATATACTATAGAATTTCATGGACCAGAGTTATCACGGCACTACTCCAGTTTTATGTCATAGTAAGTTCACTGAATGGAGTTACAACTGTAGAACTGGAGTAATGTGGTGGATCAGGCTCAGTGTCCATTGCTGTGGTGAATGTCCTTCTCACATACAACAATATACTGTATCTACCATGCACATTCATTGAATTTGCCAGTCTCCATTTCCTAAAAGAAGCCCTTCAATGAACACTTGAAGTTCACAAAAAGAAGAACAGGAGTACTTGTGGCACCTTAGAGACTAACAAATTTACTCTGAAACTTGAAGTTCAGTGGGTTTGATGCTAATATTTGCTATGTGTTAGAATATCTACCTGTCAGAAAAGTGTAGAATATTACATAATAAATATAAGAAAACTGGTTTGGTGCTGACTCAAAAATCAGTGGACAAGTGGATAGGTAACCACCAATTTAGAAATGCAGGAAATCTTTGTATTATTGCTATAAATGTGGCTGCCAGATTTAAAAAAAAATCCCACCAAAGAGATGGAGAGAGAGAGATATTAAGCCACTGGAAACAGACTAATAATTGACACAGAGGCTGCAGTGGCTTAACACATTCGACAGAGCAATGACCCAAAAGCAAGGCACTATTGTGCCACATGAAGGGAGTCGCTACAGCATCACCAATATGCAAACAAGATTTCAGAGTTAGGGAGGTCCTCGTGGGACAGCCTACCAGACTTTGGCCTTGCCATCATTGTTCCTCCCAGCTCTAGGAAGAGAAACTTGAAGCTAGGATAACACATGTGTGGCAGGATACCATTGTTGCATCTGAAATTACTGCCTGTGTGTCCATCATCTTTCACATAGCTGTATGACACCAACCCACCAGTTGCTCCAAACAATGCTGAGAGACTGGCCTTCATTAGAACAAATAAATAAAATGGCTTTATGACACTTCTATTGCAAATACAATTTTGTGACACTTTCTGCTTCTACATACATTCTTGGAAACAAATATTTGCTTTACAAATGTTCACAAAAAGAGAAGGAAAGAGCTAGTGAATGCTGTTGCAGAAAAAATTCTAATTAGAATCCACAAAATGTTCATGAATAATTTTCCTTCCTATTTGTCTAGCTGTAGTGCTGAATACACTTTGCCTTATGCCATTACTGATTCCAGGAAACAATACGCAATATGAAAATGGAAACAATTTGACAATTATTTACACCACTGCCACCCCTTTGAATTAGGTCCTCCATTTCTTTGGTATTCTGTAAAATTTAACTCGTAATTATGCTTTAATTCATTTTTGTT